TTTTTTCCCATGTGACAAGTCCAGGTCGGATGCTTCACATCGCCGACCAGACCAGGTCGACGTCTCGACGTCTCGAGACGCCTTGAAGGAGCTCGTTAAAGCTCAGTTCGCCCTTGCCCTCTTTGTCGATCTGGTCAAAGATCTTCTGCAAGTACTTCCTGGTCGATTCGCGTGGAGGCCTAGCCTTAAGGGTTATCGGGGGGTATTCAGTGAGTGCCTCGAAGCTGTCTTTTTGGATCCCAAAATGGAGGGGTCGATGTCACGGACTGTCAGGGACCGACCGCCTCAAAAGGTTCTTCACGACACGACGTTCGGGTCCTTGCCGGAAATGATTCATCGGCCAACCAATAGCAAAAGGGCCATCCAAAAGCTTTTTGGGAGTGGCAAAAACGCATGAGTGGCAGGGCCGTGAGTGGAGCGGCGTACGAAACGACACCACGGAGCGGGCGCTCCGGCGCGACGTCCTACGACGGTACGCTCACCGACTTGTTCGACCGTCTCACAAGCGGATCAAAGGCGTCTCAGCGCAAACCGCAAAACCAGCCACTGAAAACAAAGGATTGGCAAAAATATGGCCACAAAAATTGTTTTTGAGCCTTGAACAGAATGTATTTGGCTCACGCCGCTACGCCGAGAAGCCCACAATCAAGTGTATGACTGTGTGCATATGACATTATACGAAGTTTGTAGAACACAAATCAAGCAAGTCATATCAAAACTCGTGGCACCCTCCCAAAACAAATGCAATAGCAAAAAGAATATGTTGACCCTAGCGGCCACTCAAATGTGAACACCCGCTCTGTCAACAGAATGAACCTTTACCCCAGTGGGGTATTTTGCTGGGCAACATTGCAAACACATTCATGAAGGCCAAGATACTGTCCCCAAGCACACATTTGACGGCTATTTGACGGCTATCAGACGGTTAACCCTTCATGTGTCGCCCCCCCAGCCGTGTTCGAAGTGTGCCCTTCAAGATTCTGATCAATCTGCTGGTCACGTTCCATCTCATCAGCCAAGTTCAGCACGTCGCGTTCTCGCGCATCAGCAAATTGGTCGACCTCAACTCGTTCGGCCACGCGAGAGCGCCAATGGGATGTGACAAGGGCCTCGCTGCGAACGGAGCAAGAAGCTACTAGAGTGGAGGCCATTACTACTAGTAGCAATGAGGTTCTCTGTTTGAGCATTTCCCCATACGACCATGTACGACTAGGAATATTGCTTCTCTCCCTCTCACGTCCCAGTTCACGGCCGGAAGGCCGGTTGGGTCAAGACTTGCTTCTGGGCCTGGATGGTACATCTGCCTCTCCGCTTCCTTCAGGTGTCTCACACTCGACGTCCCAAAATTTGTGAGTGTTTTGCATGCGTCTGCAGATCTGGAAGATCTGTGATCACCCTTTGTTTAGCCTGCTTGCTTGCTCTCTTGCTCTTCGCGAAAGTCATCATGAAAGCGCCTGAATGTCTCGGGCACGTTCGGCTTGTTCTTGACTTGTGTTTGCCAAGCCCACAAAGCCCAGTGCGTGTTTTTGCCTTTGCCGAGCCAAGCCTTAGGTTCAACCCGCGGCCCGGGTAAGCTATGCGCGAAGCCTCCTGTGTTTGCTGTGGGTAACACTCGTCTCGCATTCTCACTTTGACCGTTTTCCAGTTTGGAAGTAGAAGAAGATGAAGTCCAGGCTTTTTCGCATTCGGACGGAAGCTTTTTCACATGCCAAGCAAAGTCTCCATCCGTCTCCAGTGATCGGAATCCAATCACCGCCCCGGTGTGGGGCCTTCGACCCCGACCCTCAGGTGGAGGGTGTCAGGAACACTGGCTGGTACACTCGACTGCACGCGGTGTGAACGCGTGCAGAATTGTGTGCCCGTTCAGTCTGCTGCACTTTCAGAGTGACCGTGGGCGTCCTGTCTTGAGGGCAACACGCAGGTCGCCACGAAGAAGGATGCACTCGCTGGAAAATCCATCTCATGGAAATGGCGACCCGGAGATCTTAGATGAATCCTCCAGGAATTCATTCAGATATTGTTTCCAGTGACTGCCTTGTTTTCGCTAGCATGCAAGAGCAAAGGGAGCCATTCAATGCCTGCTTTGTATGTTTGCCCAAAGGCCAAAGAGAGTACAGATGTGCAGCAGTCTTGGGGGTATTTGGAGATATAAGTACTGGTGCCCAGTAATGGCTTCTTCACAGCTAAGTGCAAGGATTCTGCTTGGAGACGGATTGACTCTGGTGCTCAAATCAGGAATTTCGGGTGACTTTAGAAGAGAATGTTGCTGCCCATGCGCAATTTGAGGTGCACTAAGGAAGCAAATGTATCAATTGAACAAACATAGACATAGCCAGCATCAGCATCCCAACTGTGAGCTTGGCAGCTTGGACTCAGTAAATTGACAACGAGAACGGAACAACTATCGAGACTTTCGCCGCTAAAAACTTCAATTCAATTATACAACATGATGTACTTCTTGTGTGGCCAGCACAACAGTGGGCAAGTGTACATCTCGTTTCTTCTAGACATCTTTGTTCACCCTGATGTCACACCTCATCCTTCGTCAACTACGCCCATTCTGGCCATTCTGTTCTTCGTCGTTTTCCCAAGGCACCACCACCGCGACGATGAGGTTCAACACCCCAAAGACGATGGTCAAGTATGCCCCGACGAAGATCAGCGCCGTGGAGGGATGCGCTTCGATCACCGGGACGGCGATCTCTCCCCAGCTATCGCCGGCGATCACCGTCCTCGCCGAGGTGCGCAGACGGGCGGTGGGAGACACGAGACGTGGCGGAGCTGGCTGGTGGGAAAGGCGTTGGAGTTGACATGTTCCAGGTCCATGTTGGATTGAACAAAAGCCTTCTGTCCAGAATCAAACCTTGGTTGCTAAGTTCTGTCCACAATAAGACTTCTAAAAAGAAGAGCCTTCTATACAATTCTGCGCTCTTTCGACTGAACAAACCTCCAAACCTGTCCTGAACAAGAGCAAGTTGGCCTCCATGACCGAGGATGTCCATCGAGCGCACTCCTCGTTCATTCCCTCCAGGTCTTTCACCAGCGGATGTACAACTTCTACGATCAGCATGGCCCACACCTCGGTAGGTCGCCAGGTCTCTGCGTTGGAAAGCGGAAAAAGTGTGTTTCTGTGCCAAGGTGGCACGGTGAACGTAGACTCCGACTTAGGCCCACACTGTCATGACCATGAAGCAGAAGCAAAAGGACCAAAAAAGCGCCTGCACGCTTCAATCGGTCATCGTGACGACCCCTCGCATGCAAGGTTTCGTTCCGTGCCGTTCCGTGTCGGCCCTGACGACACGGTACGGTTCCCTGTACGACACAGCTCCCTCTGCATGACACGACACGACGACGATTCTTCCCAACGAGTCAGAACGTCTCTCCCAACGCTCTGCAGAGCGGTTTACACGTCAACGTCTCTCCCAACGAGCTCCGGTGGCCGAGGCGGACCCGCAACGAACGGCTGGATGAACTGGCGGGTGTCTGGTGCTGCGAACTAGTTGGGGGTCGATACCAGTGTTCTCTTTAACAGTATATATTGCTGCTTTCTGTGCTGCCAGCGGGTAGCCCTGGCACACAGGCAGGAAAGGGCAAGTTTGGCAGTTCAGCGCTCAATTCTGGCAGAAGTTATGGCAGTTATGGTAGATCTGCCAATCACCTGTGGGCAGCCAACAATGCAACGTTAATCATTGATGTGCTTCAATCCCAGACATGGGAATCTCCTGCATCTCTCTGGTGTGAGGAGAGTGCAAAATCCGGCCTTCATGCAAGTGGACATCATCTTCACCAGCTTCGAAAGTTCTCTCAAGGCCCTCACGTTCCGCAGGAGCTTCAGCAATCGAAAGACCCTCACCAAGCGTAAGATCCTCATTGGGATTGGCCGCTGTGGCATTCCAGTACCGACGAAGAGCAGTTGGATGAATAGTAGTTAAACCCACTTAAAAGTGAAAGTAATGTTGTTGAACCCCCTTCTCCACTCAAAGACAAGAGAAGATGTTTAAACATGTTCGGATGTCTGCTCACGCCCATTTTCGCTAAAAGGTCCTTTTCCTATTTCCAGTCCTGAGGAGGCTCAGGCTGGTGATGGCGCTGCTGGGCATCAACAAGTCGGAAAGGAGTTCCGTGTAGCCGCACAAGACCAGAAACAAGTCCAGGCGAATCAGGTTCTGCCGCAGCACCTGTGGCAAACAGTGGTTGAAAGCATATGATGTCGTTTTGGAGCAGAATGCGAAGACATGATGCGGTGGTTCGTGTCATGAAGCGGTGTGTCCACAAAAAACTCCAAGAAAAATGGGATTCGATGACAGGATCTCCGAGTTTTCACACCACTTCCAGCACAGGTTCTCTCCTCACCTGTCGTCCATTGAGCAGCAGGTTCAAAGCCAGCTCAATGGTGTACAGAGACAGGCAAAGATAGGAGACAAGCAATAGCCCAGATGGCGATTTGGTCTGTGCCGCTCGCGAATCAATATCGTTGCAAATGCAGTAGGCATCAACGATGATGACCAAGGCCATAAAATGACTGAAATGCTGGCCTTATGGGAGAACGCGATCCGGGCTTCAGACATGCTGCTCACCATTGCTTGAATTTCTGAATCAGTCCATCTCAAAGAAAATCCAAGACCGTTGGCAAAATGGGAAGTTCATAATGTGAGCCGTTGGACATAAAAGTGACTGCTCGTTCACCAAGAGGGGTCAATCAAGACACCACTGAAAAACTCCTTTAGACCAGTTAGTGCTGTCCAACACACGCCCTTCGGCCAAGCTGCTGTTAAAAATGGACATCAAAATCTGCTTTCCAGCGAAGCGGCCCTTCCCAAACTCTTGGAGCCTTAGAATCTTGCAAGACCCGTCTGGCCCAAATCTGGTGACCAGCCAGGCCCAAGAAATATTCAACAAAACATGTGGCTCCCTTTTTGGACACTGCAACGCTTCTGTGAAAATCTGCATGGGGCCATGTCAGGGGTTGCAGGAAACTGTCAAGATTTACACCGACCGTTGGTTGTTGGTCCTGTGATCATTTGCTGGGGGAGTAGTGTCAGGATTGCCCTTCTTCAACAACCAATGAGGGGCAAGGAAGGGTCTGGCTGAGACTCTTGGATAAAAACATGTTTGCTTCATGTGGGTCTTTTTTGGATGCAATGACTTGACCCTTCTCTTGAGAAAAGCGCCCTCACCCATGCGCTTCCTACGCTCGTTACTGATGATGAAGACGATGAGTTGAGATGGTTCGTGCACGAAGCTAAAAGGAATTTGGAGGAGATTTCCACCATGGAATTTCAGCAGATCTGCGTACAGAGGTTCGTGGGGGTGTTCAGAATCTTCTTGCTTCCCCGCGTCTCATTCTCTTGAAATATCTTGACTGTAGCCAAAGATGTAAAACAATATCCAAATAAGCAAAGAACTAAAGCAGCATGCAGCATGAGTAGCACCAGTGCTGCTTTGTGATGAACAAGCTGAAGCATGAACATCCAAGTTCTGGTTCATGCTTCAATTTGTGCCTGTTGGCATCTGGAAAAGGTCAGAAAAGCAAACGGCAAAAGGAGCGTCACAAGCACCATTGCTTTCTGAAGGAAGCTTCCCAAAGTTGTTTCTGTAGGCTGTGGTAGGGACACTAAAGAAACAACCATATTTTCCGCTATGTTTTTGCGTCATGCAGGTTGACTTGTTTCCTTATTCCTGTTTGTGATGTGGTGAAGCAGTAGGAGGATTTATTTGCCCATGATGATGTCATGGCAATCCATGACAATCTGCACACGACTTTTGCTGGTCATACGTGTGATCTCGATATAAATGTTCGAAATGAAGGAATACCACTGTTTTCAGGTTGCCAGGAAAAACTCTTCCTGCTGCCCATCTTACACTTATATAGCTGAGTGAATAGCCAGGCACCTTGTATACATCCTTCAGTCGACTGACCAGGTGGCCAGATGAAAAACCACCCAAACGCCCGCCGTCGGAGAGATTGAAACGCTCAGGACGCAAAAACAAAAAGATAAACATCCTCCAACGTCCCACAGCTCGCAGCTCCCCACAGCTCGCAGCTCGCGAACGGGTGACGTTGGTGCGCGGATGAAGTCCGTGGCTAAGGATTCCTGCAGAGATCAGAAGGCGCGGACCGAAGCTGCCGGGGGCGCGGTGAAGATGCGTCGGTGGATGCTTCAAGAGTCTCATGTGTTGGCCATGTGTGTGTTCCACGAAGATTCTTCGGCAAAAGGTGGTTGGGGCGCGGCAGGGCCCTGCACCGTCACGTGAAAAAAAA